GACCAGCTAACATTGTTTCAGTGATTGCTCCATTAACACAGGTGTGGGTGGTGATGAGGACAGGGCTGGAGATCAATCTGTCATGATTAAGTAAGAATGACACCTCTGGACACTTTAAAACAAGGCTGGTGCTTGGCATCATTGTTTCTCTTCTGTGAACCATGGTTATCTCTAAAGAAACATGTGCAGTCATCATCGCACTGCACAAAAATGGCCTAACAGGAAAGAGAATTGCAGCTAGAAAGATTGCACCTCAGTCAACAATCTATCGCACCATCAAGGACTTCAAGGAGAGAGGTTCCATTGTTGCCAGAAAGGCCCCAGGGCGCCCAAGAAAGACCAGCAAGCGCCAGGACCGTCTCTTAAAAGTGTTTCAGCTGCGGGATCGGGCTACCAGCAGTGCAGAGCTTGCTCAGGAATGGCAGCAGTCAGGTGTGAGTGCATCTGCACGCATTGTGAGGCAGAGACTCTTGGAGCAAGGCCTGGTCTCAAGGAGGGCAGCAAAGAAGCCACTTCTCTCCAGGAAAAACATCAGGGACAGACTGATATTCTGCAAAAGGTACAGAGAGTGGACTGGTGAGGACTGGGGTAAAGTCATTTTCTCTAATGAATCCCCTGTCTGATTGCTTGGGACATCTGGAAAACAGCTTGTTCGTTGAAGACGAGGTGAGCGCTACCACCAGTCTTGTCTCCTGCCAACTGTAAAGCATCCTGAAACCATTCATGTGTGGGGTTGCTTCTCAGCCAAGGGAGTCGGCTCTCTCACAGTCTTACCTAAAAACACAGCCATGAATAAAGAATGGTACCAGAATGTCCTCCGAGAGCAACCTGTTCCAACCATCCAAGTGCAGTTTGGTGATGAACAATGTCCTTTCCAGCCTGATGGAGCACCTTGCCATAAAGCAAAGGTGATATCTAACTGGTTTAGGAAACAAAACATAGAGATTTTGGGTCCATGGCCTGGAAACTCCCCTGATCTTAATCCCATTGAGAACTTGTGGTCAATCATTAAGAGATGGGTGGACAAACGAAAACCTAGGAAATCTAACAAAATGCAAGCATTGATTGTGCAAGAATGGACTGCTATCAGTCAGGATTTGGTCCAGAAGTTGATTTAGTGCATGCCAGGGAGAATTGCAGAGGTCCTGGAGAAGAGGGGTCAACACTGCAAATATTGACTTGCTGCATTAACTCACTGTCATCAAAAGCTTTTGGTACTCATAATACGATTGCAATTGTATTTCTGTATGTGATGACAACATCTGACATACACACATGAAAACCTGATGGCAGCAGATCATGTGAAAATAAAATATTTGTGTCATTCTCAATACTTTCGGCCATGACTGTACACCATTTGATGCTAATGGTGGAACACATATAAACAGCATAACTACTAAGTTATTGACACTGCTAAAAAAAAGGGAACTTAAACACCATTTAAAGGAATAGTACACCCAAAACATGATTAGCCTTCATTTTCTACTCACCCCCATGCTGAACAACACTCTGGAGTACTTTTTTGATATCTCAAATGCATCTGGAGATCTGGGAGGCTTCTTGCTGTCTGCTGACATTCAAATAATGGAGGTCTATGGTGACCGAGACAGAAAGGTCCATAAAAGTCCACAAAAAATGTGTCAATATTCCTCCATACTGCTCGTCCAATGTATTCCAAGTGTCCTGAGTGGGTAGCATCCAGAATTTACTCAAAACGAAGTCATTTAGAATGTTTTTAGAGCATAAACAGTAGTGTATAGGATTTCCTGAAAGCGCACACATGCGCGCTCACGAGTCTACGGAAGCCGGCAGACCAAGCCAGATGAAAGTGCGCATTCAGCGTCTGCTCTGCCAATAATGCAAGCGTAGAAGAAGAAAATGTGCTGTTTACCTGTGCAAAGAAAGAAACAACGAAAGTTAAATGTATGAGGACTTCAGTGTTGAGGAAGAGCATGAGTTCTTTGCCGAGCTGAATGCGCTGGTTTGGTCTGCCGGCTTCCGTAGCGTCGTGAGCGCGCATGTGCGCGCTTTCAGGAAATCCTATACACTACTGTTTATGCTCTAAAAACATTCTAAATGACTTCGTTTCGAGTAAATTCTGGATGCCACCCACTCAGGACACTTGGAATACATTGGACGAGCAGTATGGAGGAATATTGACACGTTTTTTGTGGACTTTTATGGACCTTTCTGTCTCGGTCACCATAGACCTCCATTATTTGAATGTCAGCAGACAGCAAGAAGCCTCCCAGATCTCCAGATGCATTTGAGATATCAAAAAAGGCTAATCATGTTTTGGGTGTACTATTCCTTTAACTTCAATCAAATCAAACCTCTGTGAACTACTGTCCACTTTGGAAGCAATACTGACTGACAATCAATTTCACACACTGTTGTGCAAATGTTATAGACAACAGATGGAAATTATTGGCAATTACACAGGACACACACTAAATGAAGGTGGTGCTTTCAGACTCACGGTAGCATGAGACAGACTCTACGATCCACACAAGTGACTCAGGTTGTGAGTTTCAATGTGACAAGAAGGTTTGCTGTTGGTGTCAGCATGGTATCCAGAGGATGGAGGCCATACCAGGAGACAGGCCAGTACATCAGGAGATGTGGAGGAAGCCATTGTAGGGTAACAACCTAGCAACAGGACCACTACCTCTGCAGTTGTGCAATGAGGAACAGGAGGAGCCCTGCAAGAGCCCTGCAAAATTACCTCCAGTACGCCACAAATCTGCACAGATGGTTAGAAACAAACTATGAGGATGGTATGAGGGCCTGACCTCCACAGCTGGGGGTTGTGCACACAGCCCAATACCGTGCAGGATGCTTGGCATTTGCCAGAGAACACCAGGATGGCCAAATTCTCCACTGGTGCGCTGTGCTCTTCACAGATGAAAGCAAGTTTACCATGAACACATGTAGAGTCTGGAGACATAGTGAAGATTGATCTGCTGCCTGCTACATTTCTTTTTGCACAGCCCTCTATATGCTAGCCAGACGTAACATGATTGCCATTAGGTACAGAGATGAGATTCTCAGACCCTTCGTGGGACCAAATGCTGATGCAGACGGCCTTGGGTTCCTCCTAATGCAGGACAATGCTAGAGCTCACATGGCTGGAGTCTGTCATCAGCTCCTGCAAGATGAAGGCATAGAATCAATGGACTGGCCCGCCAGTTCCCCAGACCTGGATCAGATTAAGCACATCTGGACATCAAACATGTTCCTTTGAAAAGTAATGCTGTTTTACTGTATAATAATCCTTTGTAAATATGGGTATATAAGGCGACAGGTAATTAGAGCAAAGGAAAGAAAGGTCAGGACGGAGTTGCAACTGGAGGAGAAGGAGAGAGAGGCGTAGCTTGTGACACATCTTCTTTTGGTCTACAGAAAGTGCTCAACAGCCCACACAGTGTTTACATTTCACTTATTGCTCATTAAAAGGTTAAGTCCCTTTCTTTTCTACATAAGGAGGAAGAGGAGACTTTGAAGCATTTAGCTCTCCCCCTTGTTCCTCCTTCCTTCCTGATGATGATAAAGCTGCCCCACCTAAACATGTGAACAGAGTGTCACTGCTAAAAACCAAAACTGAAAATAAGCCATTAAGCACAGGTTTTAGTCCTGTAACAGTTATTCAACCTAAATTAAATACAATGTGAGATAGAAACCCCTTCCTCTGTCCTCCCTCCTCTTTCAAAGTTAGCTTGAGTTTAAAACTACAGACTATAATTACATTCTGAAGGTCTGGTTAGCGTTCAAGATGACACCATGCTGGTCTATTTTGATGGTATTATACTTATAGAATTAGTTGTTATTGATAAAGAATCTTTATGATTTTCTAAAATACAGTTAATTTGTTAAATGATAACCTGTTCAAATAAACTTAGAAAACTCTACATTTATTGGAGCTTTTGTAGATCAGGAAGTTTCCCTGCCTTTTAAAAGCATTTCTGATGCAAGCTATATAGAAAGGTGGTCAACGTATAACAGCTGGTTTAGTTGAAGGTGTTTTTCCCAATCAAATTTTCTATGAGTGTAATGGTCACTAGTTTACCTCAAAGCAGAGACGGATGCTGGAAGCTTGACAACTTGCAGAGATGGAGCAGATCAGAACACCAAGTAGACCTGGGCAGACGCAGGAGCAGGTCATGACACCAGGTCGAAGTTAGTCAAAATTAAGATCAAATTCTTATGCAGCAGTGAACAGGACATAATTGTCTGGCAGCGTGATGCTGAGACAACGAGCCTTTTGAAACAAAGAGTCGATGAGCTGATGGGCTGTTGGTGTCTCAGTTTGCAGCACCACAGTGCAATCAGCCACACTCCCTACCAAAACATTGCTCTGCTGAAAAAAAGAGAACCACAAACCCCAACAATAAGAGGTAGAATGTGGTAACGAAAATTAACACCTTAATCCTTATTTTGTCACCTTACTGTTGTAATAACTGTGGTAGCGGAAAGAAAGATGACATATTACCTTCATTTTATAGAGTCTGATGATCAAACATAATTATTTCAATTATTTTACGAACTAAAAGTAACAGACTATGCCTTTAATCATTTTGCTCCCGACACTCATATGGGGCAACGTCCTTTGTGTCTGGTGTGAGCATCTGCTGCTGTGACACTCTGTCCAACTAGCTTTATTTTACATAAGCAAATATGCACATTTATAACACATGTAAAATATCATTGCATTCCAAACAGTTTTTTGTGTTTTAGAAATTGTACATACTCTAATACCAAGGATGATTTACTTGGAAAATATTGTGTAGCCCTACTTTAGAAGTGTTTATGTTTGATCTCACTGAGGGAATTGACTCACAGCTGCACTAATTAGAGACAATTCTGACTAAACTCAGAGCAAATCGGTAAGAGATAAAAATACAGAAGTAGATTTGTACATGGATCGTGAAGGCACGGTGATAAGGAGGAGGAGTAGTAGCAGTGGGCAGTTGGGAGGAAGAGGAGGAGGAAAAGGAGGAGGAGGGAATCCATATGGGAAGGAGCAGCCTGCGGCTCCGCTGCAGTGAGAAACATAGCCCGATGAAGAGAAAGGAAAGCCTAATTTTTGCTCAGAGATGAAAAGCTCTTTATTCAAACACTGAGCTGTGGGAATTCACTCTGTGCCGGCATGTATTTTGGTATGTAAACGCAGCACTGCGCTTTTATTCTTGGATGGATTATTTTTTTCTGACATAATCACAGCTGAATCACTTGTTGCATGCATATCTAGATGTTCTGTTTGCAGAAATACTGATAGATGTATGGTGCTCATCATTTACAAATACCAGTTTAGTATTTATATTTCTCTCCAGGTTCATTGAATGTATGTTGAACAATAGAATTGAAATGAAAAAATATAAAGCAGAGCAGGAATGTTTTTGTGTAGATTCTGAGTTTTAGGCATCATAGGATTGTAGAAGTTGACTGACTAGATATTTTTACACTAGCTACTCAAACTATTTACTCATTCTGACTTTATATCAGGAGTGTGGGATCTGGACGCATTTAGTATCTGTGTTTTGCATTTTAAAAACAAATCTCTTCTCAGGAAAGTAGATGCCCAGAACTCATAATGTTGCAAGCACACACATGCATGCCGTCAGCCGAAGGCAATCAGAGTAATGGCAGAACGGATGGGTGTGTTGGTTGATCTTGATGATGATGATGATTAAACTTGCACCCTGGTCTTGATTCAAGCTGCAATCAAGCTGGAAAAACTTGTAAAGTGGAGGCTGAGCAATCAGAAATGCAAACAGGACGCTTATCACGCTGGACCCTCTGGACTAAATCTGTAGATGTGTGTGCGTGTGTGTTTGATGTTTGTGTGTGTTTACAAGCTGTTTGTGTGTGTTCTAACTACTTATCAGATACATTATTTTAATTAATCTTTGAAAAAAAAAAAAAAAACTTTACCGAAAGAAGTGACAAGTAGCCTTTTCATTAATCATATCTAGTTGAAGGGATTGGTACAAAAGAATAAAAAAGGAAAATGGATTTTATACAAGTTGCAAGATAAGCTCTGAAAAGATAGGATGTAATTTGTGCTAAAATATAACAACAAATAAAAAATTAGGTGGTGCCTCAAAGAAGGGATGGCTCTTATATCTGCACCTGATGCAAAATTATTTCACTTTTACACATAAAATAAATGTTATAACAGCTTGAGTATGTTTTAAAGAATCAGTTATCAATGTGGAATAATCCATTTCCAGGCTTACAATCTATTTTTTTGTCCATTTCATGCCAAGAATATCAGATAACTTTCTCTGCTTTTGTGGTTGTTTCCTACTAATCAAATAGGAAAATAATAATAATGTGCATGTGCTTTTTGTTTAATATTTGTAGGGGGAAAATCCCTAGTACAGCCCTCTAACCCTCTAGCAAATACAATTCTTTTACCAGATAAATTCATTGTAACATTGTAATTGGAGATTTCAAGAAGAGATTTTAGCATTTGTACACAGATGCAATGTGTACAACAAAAATGTCAGTAATACCTCAATAATTGTATTACCCATTATCTACGTTATGCTACGTTAAGAATGTGCTCCATTCAACCTGACATGCCTATCAATGAAAAAGAAAGAAAAACTCACAAGAAGACCAACTTTCTAATTAATTTGGATAGTAGATATTTAATCTCTTTGGAAGCATTAAGAAATAAATCTAATTCTGAGGTAAAAATGTACACATCAAAAAACAAAAACAAGATGTCACAGTGAAAGTAGCGTACCACATTCCAATGCACCAGAGCACTTCAAACTTGACAGTTTTGACCCCAGTACATGTACACTATTCAGAAGAGGTATGCATCAATGGTGACAGATACACTTTTTAAGACCAGAACATATCTGATGTCCCTAAAAATGCCTTTCATTTCCTGACATTTTTATTCATGTCAAATAAATGAATATTACAGCATGCATGGCTAGAAAGGAAACCCTTTGACAACATTTTAGTTTTATTGCCTCTCTATTAAGTGTGAGGATTCAAGTCTGACGTGCATGAGTGTTTTGGAATTTTTATCTATGGATGAGCAAATGTAATCCATTTTCTACAAAATACAGGAGGACCAAGATCATGCTTTGTGGAGACATGTGGAAAAAGTCTCCATCATCAAGCTTTAACTTTTTTGAACCCATTCGGATTAATTTAGGTTGAATGGTGCACTTTTAGTTTTCTCATCTAAATGTGAAGATACATCTAAACCATTTTTACAGAGAAATTAAAATTTCTATTGACGAAACTGGGCTCACTGGACCCTATTGATTAAGAACAAAGTTCATGTACATGTAAACGCAAGCAAATACTTTGGGCAATAATTTAAAAGTACTACTTATCCAAGAGCAACAAACTTCTCTTGCTATTATTTTCTTGTGAAACAGAAGAATTTAACTCTATTGTGTGTTTATGTCTGCTGTGATGTGTCTCAGGTAATATCTACCACGGTCCCCTGCCACCTCTGGCTCATCACACGCTGGGCAGAACCCAGCCCTCCCCAGATCCCAAGGCTCTTTTCCCCCTCCATCTGCTGCCTGGATTCGCCAATGTGAGTACTGTCAGTCATTGTTGGGTGACGGCACAAAATGTCACTGAATCAAACCTCAGATTTCTACCTCCTTCAAACAATTTTTTAAAATTTCATTTTTGTTTCATAGAGTGGGAGTCGTGCTTTTAGTTTGCATCCATGCGTGGAAGTAAATGTTTAATATGGGCATGCTGCCTACACCTTTCCAAATATATCACCTGTGATGCAGAGAGTGGTGACATTTTCATACATCCTGGGGGGTGTAAGAGCTGCTTCCTTGTTATATCTTATGCAAAACCTTTCTCAGAGCTGTCCGTCTCTGTGTTTGTGAAGGTAGAATGAATTAATACAGATCAGGTCCAGGTTTCAAGGAGATAATCAGGATTAATATCTTAATTTAATCCTATCTGCTCAATGTATGAAATCAGATTTTTAGCTCGTAGAAATAATATGATAAAGATTTCTGTTTGCATCTGCAAAACACGTAACCTGTTAGGTGCACTTACAATTAAAATGGATTTTATATTCTCAGTGTCAGTTTTAGCATGATAGTTATCTGCTCAGATGTGACCCAGAGGACTATTTACAGAAGCTTTTAACAGACATAGTAATGTATGCAGGTCAGGATGTTCTCTGAGCTTTCAACAAGAAAGGTGAGATACATTCATTTTGCATATTTTCACAAGAATGCTGTGTATCTGTATTTGCTATTTTCTCAAACTGCTACTCTGCCTGGAAAAATTATATTTATCAAGGACCAAGCACCTTACCTTCTCCCCTATCCCTTTCACATTTGCCCTTATTTGATAAATAATAATAAATAATTTAACTTTATTAATCTCACATTGGAGAAATGTACCTCTACATTTAACCCATCCCCTTGAGGAGCAGTGGGCTGCCATCGTGGGGCGCCCGGGGAGCATTGTGGGGTTAAGGATCTTGCTCAGAGACCAAGAGTGGCAGTCTGTGGGATATATATATATATATATATATATATATATATATATATATATATATATATATATATATATATATATATATATATATATATATATATATATATATATATATATTCTCCCTCCCTTATTTCCCTGCCAGAATATCAGACTATTTTCATCCATCCATCCGTCCATCTGAATGCGGGTTAGATATATATACCTAACAACATGACAGAACCCTCAGGCCAAACAGATCTAGGAGATGGTCTCAGGAGAAAACTCTCTGACCAACATCAACAAATTCAGTCCCACAAATCTACTTTTGGAAGCCTCTCTCAGCAGCTGAGCATCCCCAACCAAGACTCGAACAAATGGTGGACTTTTACAACAGATTGTTGGTAACCAATCTTTCCGACCTGGAAATGGCACCAGTGGTCCACCAGTTGATCAATAGCTCACTCATTCCTTCCCCCAATCTGGAAAGGTTCTCTGGTGACTCCAGTCCACTATATAGTGATTGAAGGATTTAGGGGGCAGACGTTTGGACACAGCTAGTCTCATCTTTACAATGCAGTTCTATTATTCTCCTGGATGAGTTCATAGCTGATTGTCACAGGTGCATTCCATCAATCTCAAGCAAGCACTACCCATCCAGCATGTTATGAAAAGTGAGCAAAGAATGATTTAATTTAATTTGAAATGCAACACCATAACTACAATGCAAACCAAAAACAAAAGTTGTGAAAAAAAAGTCTGCAGTTAAAATTTGATTGGTGAAGAAAAATAATGCATTGATTCAGTGAGGAGGACGATGTGACGAAATTTGCTGTATAAGTGAAGTAGCTTTGAGGCTTCAACTGGTAAGCCACTGGGGGAATTTAAGATCCAATAAGGTGCAATTAGTCTGCTCCCATTTCCCCAAACAGATTAGTGACTACTGGTGACACAAACTGTCTTTTAGTACTCTAAAATTCTGGCATCTCTTAGAGAGGAGTTGGTCCATGTATGACTAGCCCTCTTTCTCTAAAGTCTACAAAAATGCAACAAGCATGTTCCACCAAACCACTCAGCAGAGTATTAGCATAAAATTGTTTAACAAAAAAGTCACTTAAACTTAATACCACACAAGTGGTGGTTTAAAGAGAATCTGAAAACTGATATAGAATCAGATGGAGGCTATAGTGAGACCTTTTCATTTGGCCCAGACAAAAAAAAGTCATGCATATTTAAACACACAATTAGGGCTTTGTTTATGTTCTTTTTAATTTATCAAACATGAACTGCAGAAAATAAAACGTAGTTGTAAATGAAATCAGGTTCTTGCCTAATAAACTTTATGCTCACAAACGGCTTGGATCATCTCAGTGTTCTGGCTTCAGGGCATGTACTATTTATTCATTTATTCATTTTTTTTTATACCTGGGTTATTGCTTTTATTTTACAATCCTGGCCCAAACTGTGTTAATGACAGAGAGACCTGTGAGGAAAGACACTTATCCATCTAATAAATTCTCACAATAGATGTATTTTTGTAAACAAACATATCCATTCTGTGAATGTTTATCATGTGAACTAGTGCAATGCTTCCTGTTTTGCTTAAAAGAGAAGATATCAACTACAGGAAATTCATATAACATTTTATATTTAATCTTTGTTAAAAAACAATAACTAAAGGTAAATGCAGTAAAAGGAGAAAAAAAATGAAGCTTTCTTTGAGTATATTTAAAAGATGTTTCCTCTTCTGAATTAAACTGATTTGGTGCACAGCTGACCTCTCCCAGGGTGGATTGTTATTTGCATCTCTTATTAAGCCTTTAACTCCAGTAAAGCTTTCGTAGGCACCACCATGCCTATATTGATTCAGAGGGTTTTCTGTGGTACCCATTTGTTTAAACTCATGATGGTGTGCATTTGCCCTCCGATCAGTTTTGCTGATTGAGTTTTTTTTTTTTCTTTTATCTGGAACAATGCATATTGATTCTAATAAATTTATCATTTAAATATCAAACATCCAAATGAAGCACCTATTTCATGCCAAATAGGTTTTGTGATGATGTCAGGAGTTTATCCAAATGGTAATCTGCAATAAATCATAACAGCATTTTTCATCATACATGTATAATCTTGATTTTGATCCAGCTTGAACATATCTACTTTATATCACTTGGATGAATGTTTCAACCTCAAATGGCTCCCTGGAGCTGAGCATGTCTGAAAAGTAACTACTGCTGAGTGTCAGTGGGTTTGCACAAAGATTGTACTGATTATAATTGATGCTGTGTTATGTACCGGAAGTCTTCATTTAGAGGATTTGCATTTGCTGCTGATTTGGTTTCTGTGTGTGTCTGTGAGTTTGTGAGTGTAGGAGATTGGAGGACATGAGCAAAAGAGGGCGAGCTGACTTTGCCACAGGTGCTTGTCGGTTATGAGGTGCATGAAAGGAGTTGAGGATAGGAGAGTGAGACCAGTGGGATACAGGAAGGTGACTTTGATAAGATGGAAGCCAAGGGAGAGGCAGAGAGTTTAGAGGTGAACAGATGGAGCGGTGGAGTGTGAAACTTGTGATCGAAGGTGAAGGGAACTGCAGGAGCTCTGATGTTCACTCTCATCAAGAGATGCAAATACCACATTCCTTGAAATGTTTTTATAATATGGTCATAGATTCTTATTTGAAAAGTTTAGCTTCTCATGAATTAGACAAAAAAATAGTCTTCATGTGGGAAAGTTAGAGAACTGTGAGCATAGATAAGGATTCCAGTGCATCTGACAACAAGGATATAAAGCTAGCAAAAGCTTGCTCTTTGCCTTGATAGGAATTCAGCTGGTTTTTTGTCCATAACAAATAATCCTAACTGGCCAATGCCAATGTCTGATTAAAATAAATAAATTTTCTATTACAATGACATGATCCGACATAGAAAAGTTCCAGGAGCTCTACCTCAATAACAATTATTCATAAGTGAACCCTAATTTTTTTAATTAAAAAAAATTGTTTTTTAGTTGTGTTTAGGTTTTATCTTTGAATTTTTGTTGGTTTTATTTCCATTTTGTGTTATTCAAGTTATTTTTGATTTTATTTTAGTTCTGATGTATGTCTTGTTTGCCCTCTGTTGCCCTCTTGTGTCAGTCTCCTTTTCCCTTGCTCCCTTCAAGACTCCTCTGTTCACACCTGCTCCAAATCTACTGATTAGCCTGGTCTTTGTTTCTCTCTCCCATATATGCACTTCCTGCTTAGTCAATGTTGCTGTTTTGATGTAATTTCTTTGCCATCTTGTTGTGAGTATTCTTGGTTCTCAGTCTGTATTTGGGTCCTCTCAAACTTCCACCCCGCTTGAAAGAGCCTATTCCTTTTGGCAACTCAAATACAATAAGCTGATCTTCATGTGTACAGCTAAACATCTTTCTTTTAAGCACTGTTTAAAAATCCAGGTTATTTAAACAAATCCTGAGTAAAGATTAAAAAAGGTAGTTATCAAAATATAATTTTTTTATTTTTTTTTTTAACGTCTGTCTAAACCTACCAACAAATGGCATTCTGCTTAAAGGCTTTTTGCAAGGCAGCTGAATTTATGGTTGTCCCAAACCTGCACCACCATCTTGTTTAAATGCTCTTTATGCTATCCACATATAGTAAATTTTTCTTTTTTATGTTTTTTTTTTTTTTTTTAGTTGTAGTAGAAGACTTCAACTTCATTACTGGATTCCTTAAACCTTACAAATTACTTTGTAACCCCTGTTCTCCATTGATCTCTTTACAGTTTTTAATTTCTTTGAGCTGGCATGATAATTTCTTTGAGCTGGCATGATAATTATTTTGAGCTGGCATGATAATTATTTTATTTTTTCTATTGAAAGTTTTTTTTATGTTGAAAGTCAGTTTCTATTTGAGTGGTTTCCTGATATCATATTGGTTGTAGCTAATCAAACTAAAATAAAAAAGGAGCTTTATTACAGTTTAACAACGGGACTGATTATATTCTCTTTTTTGGACAGGTTGGCTTGGGAAGCTTTTTTCACTCTAAAATTCCAAATCATTATTTGAAAATGGTTTTGATAATCAATCAGCTCATCTTATTCTTATGT